GAAAACTCAGAAACCATGACGTCACTAAAACCTCGATATCTCAAAAAATTTCGACCGATTTTTGGGAACTTTGTCACAATGCCGGTACTTAAAGACTACTACTTCAATCAATTCCCTACAGGTACCCAAATTTTGGCATGCTATAGCGCGGCGAAAAAATTGGGGGCGTTTAACGCCCCCCCCCCCCACAGCAACTCGCGTCTCGCGGGTTAAAACTGATACCTTCATGCAATACACCGAGTTTCAAAGCTCCATGGAACTTACAAGATAAGCTGAACCGATGTATGTGTAGGATTTCGATTTCCGGTGGTTTAACCCGCGCCCTGCTGGGGGGGGGGGGTGTTTGAACACCCCCCCCCCCCCCTTGTGGTTTTTCGCGAATATCCGCCGCCGTTTTTGGTACACCTTATCATACATCAATTCTACACATGTTGTGAAAATTTCAGACCAAGGTCATTCAAGGTCAGGTCACCAGGTCACTTGAAGTGACCTCACCTCATAAAAACTTTCAATGTCTGTCATAGCTACACCGAGTGACCGATCGCTTTGAAACTTTCAGCGATTGCTAAGAGCAATAGCATGTACAAAATGTATATCTCAGAATTTTGATATCGATGACCTAAGGTCAGGTCAATTTTGCGACCTCCCCATTATAAGTCAATGGGAGAAAATTGAAATGCGCCTCTTTTGGATGAAAGACATTATACACACTCCCAAACACCGAATTACAAGTGGTTTAGACACACTGAACTTGAAAATGGTGTCCGTGACCCTTGTTTATGCCCTGAGGTCATCTTAGGTCACGAATGGTATCTAACAGTTTTTCGCAAATAACTTTTTATAGAGGCATGCTAGAGCGATGAAAACGCCTTAGATGTGTTCAGCTCGACGATACGGATCGACTGATATGCAACATGACCCTTTCCGGTCAGGTCATGACCTTGACCTGAGGTCAAATTTTCAAGTTGACCTTTCAAGGTCAAGTTATAGTTCATTCGATGCGTCTTGACGAGAGGAACACGATGCCGGTAAAAGTAAGCTCGTACAAGGCTTGGGTCAAAAGTTATTGCAGAAAAACTGTTTTCAAAAATATCGGCTATTTTTGCAGTTTTTGCCCCCTGCAGGCAAAACCGTTGACGTTAGGTCAAATCTGAGAGAATTACTCAGAAAAGGCGTTAATAGGGCTATCGAATGCGCTTTTCCGCGGCGCTGTAGCTCTATTGGTTCCCGAGTTATGCGTTGGCTTCTTGGAAATTTTCGACATTCGACCTGGAAATCGGCGAAATTTTGCCTTCAATGACCTCTGGTGACCTGACCTTTGACCTGACCAAAAAATTGACCGAAGTGATTTCGTCATTATTTTTGACGCTCTTTCGAACGCCGCCTTCCGCGTATCGCTACGTGGCCCAGGAGCCGAGTTACAATGGGGGGTGTTCAAACACCCCCCCCCCCAGCAGGGCGTGGAAATCCAGGACCCCCAGCAGGGCGCGGGTTAACAAGATCGAGGATAGGTGTGATAAATGATGGAAATACACCATAAGCGCACAAAAATGAAAAATAAAGAGAGCGAGAGAGAGAGAGAGAGAGAGAGAGAGAGAGAGAGAGAGAGAGAGAGAGAGAGAGAGAGAGAGAGAGAGAGAGAGAGAGAGAGAGAGAGAGAGAGAGAGAGAGAGAGAGAGAGAGAGAGGCAGAGAGAGGTCGAATCCGGCAGTAAGAGGAGGAAAGAAAGAGGAAGAGGACTGATGGAGGAGGAAGAGGACGTCGCTTGTTCTGAGAGGGATGGACGGACGGAGGTCACGATACAATTGATCGCAGAGGGTCGACATTCCAAGCTGTTTACCTGGTGGCCGGGGGTCAATGGTGCTCCCAGGTCTCGACCGTGGGCTAAGAGGGAGAGAGAGGGAGAGAGAGTGGGGTCGGTGACCGAAGGGGTTCCGTGAGTCAGTGCTAAGGTCACTGACCGGTGTTAGAGGAGGCGGAAGGGGTGTAGCCCAGGGAAGGTGCGACACTCGACAGCCGACACGGGCCGGGGCACCACACGGGATTACGGAACTGGGGTTCGATGTGATAACTTACCAGAGCTGTAGGTAATATTCCCGGCTCGAAGATCTGCTTGAAATTGGCAGTTCAGTTCACAGGCCCATTCAATCGATAACGCCACTTTATTTTAATTTGTGTGGCCGAACTATCACCGGGACTTCGATTTTTTCGGGTGGGGGGGGGGGGGGGAGTGGGGGACTGGCTTCCATCATTCGACCATGCAATACCGTACGGTTTTATAAATGTTCATTGTTCGTGTATCAAAACGAACCAAATCAAACGAACCACACACCGCGCACTATTAGGTGACATGGGGTAAGGCTTTGAGGGCCCCAGCCGAAAGAATGCTTTCCTGCGGGGTGACGAATCGGGGCGCCGCACCTTTTGAAGTTTCTTTCGAAGAAAAAAAACGGTCTCGTTTGGCGCAGCTCTGGAGAATTCACTGAACTTTATCAAGCATCGATATTCCATCTCATTCGTTTTCTTTTCATTTTCACGAACATAGCATTTAAAAAAACAGACCTGTACCGGTTGTACCTAAAAAAAAAAAAACAAGTCCTACACAGAAAGGTAAAATGAAAGTGGTGCCCCTCAATATACGTGCTTCGGGATAAGAAGCTCACGAGGGAGATGATATATTACTGTTTTATTGGCTAGAATATTGACCCACAGGGACTATTTGCAATGTTTCCAGTCGGTCACAATCACAACGTTCGGTCTTAAAACTGAACATTCCTTTGAGGACGGCCAGGGCTAGACGGACACGGCTGTGTCCAGATTTTATGTAAGTAGTAAGTACGTACCTACAGGCTACAACATATGTGAATTGATGTCAACTTACGTCTTACACAGACCAGTTTTACCAAATAGAGGCCAAACCGTTGACATTGTGTGAAATGTAAGAAATATTACGAAGGAAGGAGCTCTAAAAGATTGAACGTTTCTTGTTATGATGCTGTATGCTTTATTAGTTTCACCCGTGAGTACCAAAGTCATCCCGCAACCTCAGAATTGGGACACTGTTACAATAAATGACCGCTGTTGACCTGACCTTTGACCTGACCTAAAAATGATAATACTTTCGTCATTATCTTTCCAGTCCTTTTTTCAAACATCACTTCCGCTAAATGTCCAGAGGCCGAGTGTGTGTGACGTTCTTACGAGCGATTGCTCGTAACAACGACAGCTCGTAACAACGCCCGCCTCAATATGTTACGACCTATGTACGATCATACCCTTGCGCTAACCTAGCACGGGTAAAGTAATGCAGACAGATGTGTTGCCGAGGAAGCACCAGAGAACTATACATAACTCAAAGCGGATCCAGGATTATCTTCGGCCAGGGCCCAGGGGTCAATGACATTTACATGGAGGCGGCATGTTTTCCATCTAAAAAGGGGCGGCAAATGCATACAATTGGAGCGCCTAATTGGTGAAAATTGAAGGCAAATTCCTCTGTCTCTTGTCCTTTCTCTAATGTTGTTTATGGGTGTAGTGATTTGATAGTGTTGCGGCGCCCCGATTCTTCTTCCTGGTATAGGTGTTCGCAAATATTTCACACCGTTATTGGACAGGAGCGGTTCTGGGAAAGGCATTCCCGGCATTTTGGCAATATTTCCCTAGGGTAAGGGCGGGTAAGAGTACGCGGGCGATAAGAGTACGCATCAGCTGTTTCGGTTGCTTAGCAACGCGGGTTTGTCGAGTTCATGAAGTGACATGAAGCCGCCAGTGCGTGCATGTCACCAACGGAACGTGGGCGTTGAGCGGCGACGCTGTTGAGTTTAAGGCGATGAATATTATTTTCGAGCGTTATGATATTATTATGATATGGTACAATAATTTTGATACTCGGCAGTTGAGATAAGGAACATTTCCGTGATTGTTGTGGGAAACTTGTGAGGTTATCTGGGGAAATACTGTACAGTGCAATATTCTGTTTGCGAAGTTTTGCACAACGTTTCGGGGTTGTTTTGTGCGCGAATTGCATGTACGGTAAGAGGACGCACTGTTCAGGAGGGTAAGAGTACGCAGCATTATACATTAAATCGAATATACAGAAATATAGAATTGTTAATCTATCGCTCAATGACGATTGTTTTGTAGGTATATCATCAATGGAGCACTGTGATGCAGATGCGTACCCGAAATTCTTCCAAATACGAGTTATTCTCCTTTTTGATTGTGCATTTTTTTTTTTAAGAAACACACGACATGATTATTTCCTGATTTATAGACTTGAAAGATTTATTTTATGTTTTCCTATTTGGATACTAGAATTAACTTAAATGCCTTCTCAGTTTGAAGTTAAGCATTTGGACAGTGCAAGCTGCATAGGTGTGTGTTCATATGCTTGCGTACTCCACCCGCCTGGCGTGCGTACTCTTACACACCCCATATGGTAAGAGTACGCAAGTGCAACGGTTCAGAAAATGTCGGTTTTAGACCACTTCCATTTACGCTGAAGGATCGTTGCCCCATGGGTTCATGGCTAATTCAATGAACTTTACTATTCCCTATTTGCGATTTCTTTCCTTCAAATATTAAACAAATGAGAGCAAGAAATCCACTAAGTGCGTACTCTTATACGACTTCACCCTATATGACAGGGCTGAACACAGCTAACCTGACCGCTCACGCGTGTCTCCGCTGTCCAGGGACGAGCGGAACGGTTCGCTGGACAGCTGAGTCCGACGAAACCAGGGCCACGGAACCGCCGGCGGCAGTGTTTGGCACGCCAGTGGTCATCTCCTGTCAGTATTTGTCTCAACAGTGTCTCCTTTGCTAGAGTTTGTCTCAAGTGTCTCACTCATTGTCTCAGCAGCGCGTGTATCGTCGATGCTTGTCTCACCAAGCCAGCAGTGTTTCTCTCGTCAGCGTTTGTCTCGTCGGTCACCTGTCTCCCGTCAGTGTTTGTCTCAGTCGGTGTGTTATTGTTCCACCCTTCCCTGGTCCCAGCGAGCCCGGTACGATCGGCACGACCCCTCAGGCTGTTGTCGGCCATCAAAAGGACGCCTCGACCCGCCGCGCCGTCACTCGCGTCCCAGCCGTGGTCCACTCAGCTCGACTCTTCTCAAACCAGCTTGACTCAGCTCGACTCAGCTCGACTCTTCTCCGCCTTGACTCACTATGAAGGTGACGCTGCTCCTTCTGGCGCTAGCGGCAGTGGCCGCGGCAGCAATCGTCGAGAAGCCATCTGACGATTCGGGTAAGCCAGCTTTGCACATTTCTGAATGTCCCAATCACATAGTAATCGTTTCAGTTCTGGCGTCTCCAGCCAGGGCAAGGGGGCAGGGGGGGGGGGGGGGGGGGGTGCAGCTAAATGGGCGTTTGTTCACTTATTTTCATGTACTGCCATGCCATAAGCATTACGTAAAAAAAATAGGATCTAGAAGTGGTAAACCCCCCCACCTCCCCAGCTGCCTCAGCGCACCTAACTTTTTTAGCGTTTCCTTCTTGCATTTGGTGGGGGGGGGGAGGGGGATCGTATTCACTTATGCAAAGCTCTAGCCAGGGCACCCGCATAGTGTTGATGACATCTGTTGCTGATGCCATCATCTGATGACAGCTGTTGCTGATTTCAATTGCAGATTCCGGGCCGGGCAAGTTTCTTTTGGTTGCTCACCGGCGTAAGACGACTACAGTGACGTCACATTTAATGCTGACTACCACCGTCACCGTGCCCTACCGCTGTGACGTCACACGTAAGTAGAATGACGTCACTGGAGGAGCGTCCATTTTTAGTGAATGGATTTCAGATAAGATGGAATATCGGTTCTCCGATTCCTTCGAGCTGTAAATATATCGGGAGAAGCCTCTATCACTTCAAAAGCAGGTATCCAGCTGCCCGATTGAATTGTATTTTTTTAGAGTCAGCGAAATAGTTCAAACTGAAATTGTCATTAAAGCGAAAGAGCGATTGTTAGCGACACTGCTGATTTGGTTGTATCCCCCGTAGAGCGTTTGAGCAGTCGAGTCAAGCTTATAATACCTTACCTGTTACAACAGCACCAGTAGTCTGGTGGCCTGAAAAGGCCACCGCGATCCCTTTTCAAAAACTTTTATCAGGAGTCACTACTGACCTGGAGTTTACCCCCTCCACCCTGGAAACACGTCCCTAGATTCTCCTGGCTGTCGATTACAGCGCGCCACAGCCCACAAACGAGCTTACTTACTGACATTTCTTATCCGTTTTCTGGTTTCAGCGAACCTCTCGGCGTGTACAGCTGGAACCGGTAGGCGCAGGGTAAGTTATCTCCGAAGTAACTTTCGACCGCAATTTATTGGGCCCTACCCACTACAAGTAGAATATGGAGGGCAATAGCAGTTAAGGAACTTTTAATAAGAATATCTAATGATCTACAATGATCCTTAGGTAATTGTGATTACTTTTTCACGAGGGATGTAGGGACAAACAACCAACCAACTGGTTAGGTACATCGCCTTAAATTAGGTACTTAGGTACTAATAAAAAAGCGTTAACGGTAGACCCATGCATAGATAACAGTACTAGAACTGTTATCTACTGTTATCTACTGTTGTTCTACTGTTATCTATGACCCATGTAAAAATGATCAATTTCTGGAACAAGAATTTGGAATCGGTGCCTGTTTATGGGACTAAGTAATCGCGCACAAACAATTACAGGGGAGTGAATGATTTGAAGGGGAAAATGAAACACTATTGGCACTGTTGACTGTTGACTTGAGATCGATCAAGTCGCCTGCAGCACAACAAATGTGTATTTTTTTTGTGGTAAGCCACATCTGCCGTCAGGTTTTCTAAATGCAATTTGCGTAGGTCCGTCAGCGACGCTACCTCCGTTCAACGGACCAAGCTGAATGCTGATGGACAAACGACAGTTAGAGGTAACACACTAATCCATGTCTGTGTCCTGCAGAGGTCTGCCAGGGCCAAGGCAGCATCAGCACCCAGCAATGAAATGGAGCCAAACGCTGAAATGGAGCCAAACGCCGAAATGCAGTCCAACGCCGAAATGCCGCCGAACGCTGGGACGGAGATACCGTCCAACACTGAGATGGAGTCCAACTCTGGCATTCAGCTGGACAGCTCGATGCAGCAGACTGACGGTAAGAGCATGAGACTGAAACTGGAACACCTGCTTAAGAGATTCGGTGTTTTACCATAATATAATAAGCCATTATAACTTGTTAAGTAATGAATAGCATTGTTATCCACTATATGATTTTATCATTAAGGACATAACGGGGAGTTTCGAAATGCAACAAGTTGATTCAGGCTCTACTCCACAAGAAATTGTTCGCGCAGGAGCTTTCGAATTGTATTACAGATATCGGTCGCAAATATTGGGATCGATACCCCCCCCCCCCCCGAACCCAAATACGACATGCTGACGAAGTTTCGTAATACGATTCGAAAGCTCAGACTCGATTTCTTGAGGAGATAGGTCTGAATCAGCTCGTCGATTTCTGTTACTCAGCCACAAACTCAGCCTTACATGTATTAACCAAGGCTATAGAACTGGTATTTACCCAATGTTATTTAAAGAATGTGTGATGCAATGTAATACACTTGTCACTTACATATAAAAAACGCTAAATAAATAAATTAATACCTTACACTGGAGATGGTAATTCACCTTATCAGAAATTCAAAAACTCAAACAGGTCCCAGGTCTTTCTACGCCTTTCGACACAATTATTTCATTTACTGATTTTTTCACAATTTTTTCTTCTTGAAAACTGCTAGATCACCAACATCTGACCCGATGCGCCGCTGTTTCAGGAGCCGGCGATAGCGCCCGTCTGCTGATCCACACCCGGATCACTGAAACATACACCAGCACCATCGGCACCAGGACGGTGTCCGTCACCAACTCAGCCAGCACCGAGTACGTCGCCTTTGCGTCATGTTTGGCGACAGACTACGCGGCTACTCGACTACCAACTTGCCCGTCGCCATAAACTTCAGCCAGCGCGCCTGGCCGCCGGTTAAAGGGACCCTCCCACCTTAACATTAGTTTTGAGTTGAGATAGCCAAGTTTGCGGCCAGGCTCAGAAACCACCATTTATCCTGGTCGCAACCCCCGCAGCTTTATGGTGTTCAAGAAATTTCTTCCCTTTACTTGCAGGGTGGGACCAGCGTGGTCCCTATCTCTTAACCATTACGGGAGTCTGATGACGTCATCAGGCTTTCGAACGTTCGTTAAATGTTTGACTAAAACGTTTTGTAGCACGCGGTGGTATATGCTGCTTTGCGCGCAACAAATGCCGCACTTTCAAATAAAGTCGCTAGGAACAGCGGAGATCCCAAAAAGTAAACAAAAGTAAAAGGCTAATATCTTGAAAACCGGTGAATATTTTTCCATGAAATTTGGTAGATATTCGTTTTTGCTCTTTCTGAACCGAGCGACATCACTTTCATGCCAATTCATTAACTTTTTTGAAGGTGGGAGGGTCCCTTTAACACGGCTCGTTAACCCGAGTTAACCCGCGGGCTTTTAACCCGTGTTAACCGGTGCCGTGGCAAGGGTCTCAGTTTTTGACAGCTCGCCACAGTGGCACCTAGGGGACACGGCTGCCACCAAGCTAGCACTCCGGTAGGGATTCGCGAGCGTCTGGTTGGGATCGGAAGCTTGTCTCCTGCTCATGCTCGGCCGTTTTGATGCTGTTGTCGACGACCGGAACTGACTGGACATGGTCTGACCTAGCTATTGTTCTTTGATATTGTTTTTGGCCCGTCCGGCATCAGAATGTTGTATTTTGGTATAAATATACGACAAAATGCGTACATTGTTTAATTAAATATTGGATTTCGTAGCTCCATTCCAGTAGAAATGATAAGAAAGTACGATATATGAGAAGAAATGGATGCATGGAATGCGAGCGAGCGAGAATGCGAATTGTAAACGAATGAGCGAAAAGTAAATAAGTTATTGATCTTACTAAGATAAAGCAGATCAATAACGTCTTTAATATTGCATGAAAAACGAATTTTAACATAGAACGTTTATCGGTTAACACATAGGCAGCCCACAACTATCTAGTACCTACGTGTGAAGCTCCATATCACCTGAGCCACGTTACACCACTGGTGTAATAACACCACAAGCTAGTGTAGATGTGCCTCGTATATTTTTTAGTTATAATTATTTTTTGCTGTTTACTTAAGTTTCCAAAATGGACAACATAGTACAAATGTTTATCATTAGGTAGAGAAGAGAGATCGGGACAAAGGCGCCACCATTTTATCATCGCTTTATTGGAAACCGGAACTAGCATCAGTTACATCACACTGGAACCGGACCTACATCACACTGATGGCGACATAGACCACATCAGCCGTATGGACCCGACATACCAAACACCGGACACTGACGTCAGGCGGCGTCAGATGACGTAACTCCTGACTGGCATCAGCTGACGCGAGCTAGCAGCTGACAACAGCCTACAGAAATGACGTCAGTTTGAAACAGCTGATGTGGTTCTCCATCAACTGACGTGGCTTTCCATCAGCTTCCACCAACTGACGTGGCTCGACATAAGCTGACAAGTCAGCATCACCTGACGTCAGTCTCCATCAACTGACGTGACAATTCATCAGCTGGCTGACATCAGCTGACGTGGGTCATCAGCTGACAACATCCAGCATCAGCTGCCGCCAGTATCGGGCCGAAGAGTACCATATCGCAGGGGCCGACAGGAACCAATCGCTACACCGAGGCGATCTCTCCACGAACGACAGCACTTTCCAACTTACAAGTTCCACCATCCAGCGTTCATCGCTCGCTGTCCATCGCTCGCTGTCAACTGTCCACCGTCCAGTGATGATCATGGTCCACAGTCTCCGGCGCACGGCTCTACTGTTTCTGAGGACAAATGTGAGACACACCGATGGGGTCAGGTTTAAAAGTTATGGAAGGGGGTGAGCGCTTTTAAACTTATTAGTTATTACTTAAATGATGTTACGAGATACGAGATAAAATGATGTTCCAAAATTCAGATGAATGCAAAATTTCAATACGAGACAAATCCATTAGACAATTCTTCGTAATTTCAGGCACGCAAACCTGCAATTACCAAGGGACGGGAGCTTGTTAATCAATCACCGAACTCTTTAGCGGAGTTTGCCTGATGTCTGAAACGTTAAACTCTACCCAAAGGCTCAGTAACCTTTGCTACATGCATTTCTCTCTCAGCTTACATGGCGCAGTACGAGCTGCATGTCTCTCACACAAATCTCACCTAATGCCGGGCGATGTAGAAGCTCAACCCCTCCCGAACCTTACCTTACCTAATGTCTGTAAAACTCTCGATGAATCTCACCTGATACCTGGTGTTGTAAGGGCTAAAACTCCCTCCCGGACCTCACCTGGTGCCTGTTGCAGTACGAACTGAAGCTCTCCTCGTCCAGCCGACAGCCGGCCTCGGCGGCACAGGGCACGTGGAAGCCGCGCCGACAGCCGCGGCCCAGGCAGCCGACCGTGGCGCCCACCACTCCGCACACAGAGCACAGCTGACCGAGGGCGGGGGGGGGGGGGTCAGACAGGGCGGGCAGCCAACCGTGGCGCCCACCACTCCGCACACAGAGCACAGCTGACCGAGGGGGGCGGGGGGGGGGGGTCAGACAGGGCGGGCAGCCGACCGTGGCGCCCACCACTCCGCACACAGAGCACAGCTGACCGAGGGGGCGGGGGGGGGGGGTCAGACAGGGCGGGCAGGCGACCGTGGCGCCCACCACTCCGCACACAGAGCACAGCTGACCGAGAGCCAGACGGGGGGGGGGGGGGTCAGACAGGGCGAGCAGATACAGTAGACAGGCAGAGAAAATAAGGGTCTAGAGAATACACACAGCATACCAGAACTCATCAAACGACACAGTGAACGCACCATGATACAGCGAACAACAAGGATTCAGTGCGTTTATCAAAAGCACACAAAACACAGTTAAATATCCAAGGCAATCCAAGAGGCAACAGCCTTCAAAAGTCAACCTTAGCTTCGGCCTAGAGCGAGAACTATCTTGAAATCCGTTCCACGCAAGTAATGGCCACAGCTGACCAGGCTTTGCCTTAGTTGTATGATCTCTGACCTGTCCTGAACTCTGCTCCACAAAATGTGACCTGTCCTGACCTCTGCCCCACTGAATATGACCTTCCCTGGCTTTAACCCCCTATTTTGACCCATCATGACCTCTATCTTGCCCTATCCTGTCATGACCTTTCCTATACAACATGTGACCCATCTTGACCTCTCCTCTACCCTACCCTATACCCTGCCCTGGCCTCCATCTTGCCCTGACCTCTCCCCTGCCCTGCCCTGCCCTTTCCTCTACCCACCCTCACCTCGGCTCGACTGGCTGTGATGGCATCCTCGATACCCTGAATCTTCCCTGCCGAGAGCGTCAGCTGTGGACTCCAGGCCAGACAGGACTCATGGAACCAGGTCTCCAGCCGGTCACCCAGCCGGGCCACCTCGAACTCTATCGGGGTCGAGGAGGTCGGGGTCGGAGCTGGCGCCGCGGTGGAGGGGGTGGAGTCGTTTGTATCTTCCTGAAAGAGGGAGGGAGAGAGGGAGAGAGAGAGAGAGAGAGAGAGAGAGAGAGAGAGAGAGAGAGAGAGAGAGAGAGAGAGAGAGAGAGAGAGAGAGAGAGAGAGAGAGAGAGAGATCCAGTCAGAAGATTGCAAACAATCAGCAAACGTCCAGCATTCATGTGATTTTAGTCTGATTCTCAGAGCAACAGAAGCCTAAAGTTACTATTCGCTCAAAATACACAAAATCTTATGTTATAATGTTAACACCAATACAGAGGTAGTAACTCGATTCACCTGATGCCACCCTAATCTATCCAGGCCTTCCCATCCATACCATGCACTACCCATCACATTACCCCAAACATATCAAAATCTCCCTCTCCAAAGATCTTTCCCTCCACATCTTCCACCGCCGCCTCCCCTTTCCTTCCCTCCTCTTCCCCACCGAACTCACCTGCACATCCCTCTTACTCCGCCTCCTCTGTCTTCCCGCCAGTGGCCTCCCCGCCGTCTCTATAGCTTCCAACCGCCGAGCCACAAAGCACGGCCCCAGCAGATCACCCAGTCCATTGGCGTGAGACCGCCTCCGACAGAACACACACGTCCAGGTCGGGTCCACAGCAAACGCGTCGTAGTTTTTGGCGTAGGCGCTGGAGAAGCCGACGCGCGGCTGGCCGGCCGCTGAGTCCAGGTCACAGGTGATGGGAGGACGTCGGCCGGTGGACGCCCCCTCACGGTCTCCCTGGCAGTTTACCACGCGTACTGCCAGCGCGCCGCTACCTCCGCCGGTGCTGTTTCCTCCTACGACGAGGTAGGGTCCTCGCAGAGGCTCCGGCCGGCCGCGACCACGTCGACCTCTCCCGCCGGCTCGCCCGGGAGGCTCGGCGGCGGGCGAGTCGGCTCGACGCCGGCGGCGACCGGCCGCTCGCCGACGTCTCCGTACCGGCGCGGCAGGTGGCGCTGCCTTGGCCGGAATAGAGGACGCCACTGTCGCCGACTCGCCGTCACCAGCTGTAGCGTCCGCTGCCGCTGTGGCGGTGATGTCCCCGGCTTCAGTGGCGGTTTTGGGAGCGGCAGAGGCGGGTCCAGAGGCGGTGGAGGCGGGGCCGGAGGGGGCCGCCGACGGCCCCGAGCTGCCGTCCGTGGCCTGCCAGCTCTTCTTGGAGCCGTCGTCGTTCCAGCAGCGCCACTTGGCCTCCCAGTCGGCGGCCGAGACGCTGCGGAAAAACGACACAGGACAGGGTTAATTACCGAACCGACTTATACTGAGAAACTTCGGTACTACATGGTCTCTCTCAGAAAGGCAAACAATACAGGGCTCGGAATGAGCATCAAACGAAAAGAACATCGAATAACTGAATATCAAATGCCAGCATGAATATCAAACTTTTGCTAGCAGCTTTTCGTGAGGGCCGGTTTACAGCAACTTTCTGCGCTACAGCAAGATATCTCAAGTTACATGTTTGAAGAGCTCCCAGACAAAACGTCAAAGCAAAGCAGCCTCAAGACCAACACAACACCGCAATCGCTC